ACCACTAAATGCTCTAACCCACTAAATGCAGTGCCCACGGATAACCACTGGGGGCGCATCGTACACGCTACAGGAAATGGCCTCCGGGCTTTCTCCCTAGACAGGAAGAGCTGCATTCCAGAAGGGGGACAGCACTTGAAATTCCTCCATCTCTTACCTCTCCTTCTTAGGCTGGCTGTGAAGCCTCAGGAACACTTAGGTCAGAGAAATAGAGTCCAAACCTCCAAGAAAAGTGGGCGGAACCACACTCTCCCCTCTGGATGGGCCACAGGAAGGACTCCATGGCAGAGCCGGAGACGTTGCCTGAACCACTGCTGGGTAGGACCTGCTCCTAGTTCACCTTCCAACGCTTCATTCTGGGGCCAAGAAGGCTCACCTGTACTTTCCTCCTCTTCTGCAAGACCTTGAGGTGTTTGGGGCCATCAACACATCATTTCAAACCTTCAGCTTCTGAGCACTGAAGAGTAAGTCACGAGGACGCATCACTAGAATTCCATAGCCCATGCTGTTCTTCATGCATCGAGATGTGTCAGCCTCGTGCTTAAAACTAAACAGAATGAACAAGCAATATTCTTTAAAAAGAAAAATAAAGCTTCTGTAAGGAAGCTGCCTCGGCTCAATGCTGCACTGCTGTGAGCTATGGAAACGACAGGGCGGTCTTCGTGTATGATGAATAACTTCTCTTACGTAGTTGATGCTGGACATGGATTGCATCCTGAGATGGCCCTGATGGTGCAGAAAGCCACCTCTCTGCTTCTATGGTTCATTATCTGGCCAGCTCTGCCAGTGGATCCTAAGAGGATCCAGCAGGATTGGTTAGCCAGCTGGTAAGCAAAAAATCTAAGTGCAAAAAGAGAGAAAATAGCTAGGGAGATTAACTCTTCATTGTCTGAGAGAAAGGGTCAGGTCAGTGGGCTCGGGGAGTGGTCCCTCGACGTCGTTTCTCTCCCATATTGCAGCAGCAGACTCCCTGAGGAGAGGGAGGTGAACCCTGAGACGGCCACTTCCTCCATGGCTGCCATCCTGGGAAGAATGAGCCCACTTCCCAGGCCTGGTAGCAGGACCAGGCCAGCATTTGTTCTGCTGGAAATGCTGTGGGGTAGGTGAGTCCATTTCCCCCACACGGACACCAGAATGATCTCAGAGCATTTGCAACAGAGAGGGCCGGGTAGGAGAGACTGTCTACCAGTAGCACATGGGAACATGGGTTTTCCAAAGAAAATCCCACAAGACAGCTTTTAAACAACACAACCAGTGTTTGTAGCAAGCCTATGTGTAATGAGAAAAGAGTCCCGCAGTATTTCGGGGGAAGAAATCAAGCCAAGCAGGGTGCAGAGGTGGGTTTTAGCCGTATATTCTCATGGAGTAGGAAACCTCTTCTTGCCGTAGCACTTCGTGGACTCTGGCTTTTACAGTTTCGTTGGTGAGGTGGAGTGCAACCTTCTGCAAACCCTGCAGCTGTCTGAGGAAGTGGCTTCTTGAGTCACCAGTCTCAGAGAGAGGTCCCCTCCCCACAGCCCAAGAGACCCATTGGCTGGAACCCTCTGTTGCTTTCAAAGAAATGCTACCAACAAACGCACTTGGGTTTCACTTAGGTTTCTTCCCTGTCCTGTTGTCAGGTCACACCATGCCTCTGATGTGATGATTCACCATGCACATGCTACACACACACACTGCACATGTGCTGCCCTAGGGAGGACACTTGTGACCACGGGAAATGGAAGCAGTTAAATCCTAGGAGATCGTGGATGCGTCTTGGCCAGTAGAGAGCCATCAGGTTGTTGTCCCCAAGTTCTCACAGAACGTGGACAGCTGCCTTCTACGTACAGCATCCCCCCTCCTACAATCCCTCATAAAGTGCACCATCTGCTGTACCCATGCCAGTCTTCGCCCCTTCCCACCCAAGGCTGAAGTGCCCATCTCTGACCCACACAGCTGGGTTTCATTCTGGCTGCAGACAGAAATCAGCCCGGTTCCATCTTTGGTGGACAGAGGAGCCTGGCTTCGTCTTCCCTGTCCCCTGTGCACCGTGTGATGCATGCACGATTCCATCTGTCTCGCTGTCCGTGGTGGCAATGCTGAGATCTCAGGGAAAGGCCAGGTCTTCAAGCAGGGAGTCGAGGTTCAAGCTTTAGTGAGAGGCCATAGAGCGTATCCTCATCAATGATAAGGGCTTTATCAAGCAAGTACTGTGTGACCTGAAGGAAAGAAATCCCAGCGACAGACATTCTGTGAATGGAATGTGACACAATTCAACGTGTTTTCTTAAACACTTAAAATGTTTATGTGACTAAAGAAAACATCGCTACTGTGATAATTAAGCTCAATTTTCAAGTTGATTGGTTTGGGAGCCACCTTGGGGATTGGTGGCACACGCTTCTAGGTGTGTCTGGGTGGGTCATGGAGCCGTGGCCTTGGGGACTATGTCTGGTTCCTCACCCCTTCCTCTCTGGCACTGGTCACTTGCCGTGCTTTCCTCCGCCATGAACGGAGCTGCTTTGCTCCACCACACCCTTCTGCCATGATGTTGCTACCTTGGAAACAACTTTCATGGACTGAATCCCCTGAAACCATGAGCCAATTAAACTGTTTCCTCCTTTAAATTGTGGTGGTCAGGTGTTGTCTTCCAGCAACATGAAAGGTGACTAATACCGATATATTCTCATAGGAAAACAACAATAGTCTCCCTCCAACTCCAGCCTCGGGTAAGATCTCTACAGCTTATATCTAGATACCCCCAAATCCTCGTGCACTCATAGGCAGGGCTTTGAGGAGTGGGAGGTCAAGTGGGTGTGATATGGATTAGACCACTCATGGGTTTATAGCTGGGTGTGATGTTGGGAGGCGAAGCCTCGTAGGAAGAGCGGGTTACTGTGGGGATGGCCTGGGTCTTCCTTCCTACTGCCTTGAATGCTTTCTGCCTGCCATGCCTGCCATGCCCGCCAGGCCAAGAACTCTTTCTCCTCTGCCATGCTGCTCTGTCTCAGAGCCAGATGACTATGGATTGAAACCTCTGCAAACCGTGAGCTGAAATAAACCTCTCCCCTTTTAAGTTTAAGGGTATTGGGTGTTGTGTCTCAGCAATGAGAAACCAAGACCCATCAGAAGCATGGCTGTGACCATGTGGTGTACACGACCCCCGATGTCTGGCTGTGTCTTTATGGTTATTACGTGTCTTACAGAAATGTTTTTGCCCATAAAATTATAAATGGCTTCTCACTGTACACTGATTCTTTGTTCCCCTCTCTACTAAGTTCTGGGAGCTGCTCGTCAGCCCACAGCATGCTGGCTGCCATGCAGTACTGATAGTTATCGGTATTTATTTTAAGGGATCACTCATGGAAAGAAATGAGCTGATGTCAAGATGTCCCTGTTACACAGGGACAGGGAAGTCCCTGAGACGCATTTCTGGCTGCTCGTGTGCCAGTGTCCCACAAGGAAAGGAAAGAACACTAGGGAGGAAAACGTTGGGGGCAGGAACACATTTCTTCCTTATTTTTGTTGAACTCTAACATATGTATATAATTGAAATGAGCGGTTTGACCAGTTTGGATAATGTAACCCCATATCACTTACACAGATACATATGGTAAGGAACCACCCATTACTCTCAAAGTTCCTTCACACACCGTCCTGGCCATCTGTTCATAGAGCATCTGCTACTTTAATGTTGTGATTTGATGGCTTCATGCAAATGGAATCGTGCAGCAGACATGACTTCCTGTCTGGCTGCTTTCACTGGGTACAGTGTTCAGAGGTTCGCCCAGGCAGGTGCCTGCATCGCCTGCTTCTACTCAAATCACTGAGGGGTGGCAGCCCAAGTGTAGCTATAAACCCCAATTCATTCATCCCTTCTTCTACTGACAGGCACTTGAGCTGTTTCTAGCTTTCAGCTATTATTAAAAACTATTCTAAATATTTTATACCAGGCTTTTAGTGGGCATTCTCACTTCCCCCTACCATGCAGAGAGACTGCTGGAGTCCAAGATAGATGCATAATTAACACTTTAAGAAGCTCCCAGTGTCTTTTTTCCAAAGTGGTTGCACCATCTTCCTCTCATTAACTGTGTATATCTGAGTTCTGGATGTGCAGTATACAATATTAAAAATTTTTCTAAAAGTAATGTAAAATGACCTCCAAAGCCGCTTATCCAATAGTACACAAGAGGACCTGTTTTCCCATCTCCCAACTCACCTGTGACCTAATCAATCTTTTGAAATTTTTCTTAATCTGGAAAGTGATGTCTCATAAAGTGCATTTTTTCTTTTTACCAGTGAAGTTGAGAAATTTTCAAATATTTATTAGTGATTTCTATTTCTTCTGTGAACTGTTCTCAGAGTCACCACCTTTTCTATTGTTTATACTTTTTTATAGATTTATAGGAATGCTTTTATTCTGTTTTATATGTTGGAAAAATTGTCTCCTAGCCTACTGTTTGTATGTTTATTATTTAAATAATTGCCCATTGTGATGTAGAAGTTTTTATTTTTTTATGTAGCAAACTTTACTAAGTGTTTCTTTTTAGCTTTTGTATTTTGTACTTAAGATCTTTCAAAATGAAAGGTCCTGAATATTTTATCCCATATTTTATTCAAACAGCATACTTTTTTTTTTGTATTGGAAATTGAACTCAGGACCTTGAGCTTGCCGGGCAGGTACCACACCACTAAGCTACATCCCCAGATCACTATTTTGTTTTATATGTAGGTAATACACTCATCTGGAGTTTAATTTTGTGAATGGTATAGAATGGAAAGCCAAAATTCCTATTCTATTTATTGAATGGTCAGTTTCTCTCTGGCACTTTTCACAAATGCCTGTTTCTATCCTGTATTAAATTTTCATGTGGGCAATATCTGTGTCTGGGCCTTATCCTGCACCATTGAAATTGTATACTGAGGCCAGGAAGGCCCTTTATTTGCTCTAGGAAATAGATTTACAGCTTCAGGATGTCTGGTGGTGAGTTCTAATTTTTCAAGTTCTTCTGTTTTTCTCCCAGATTCCTTATGAAATTCAAGATGTATGTCGGCCTGCATGAAAAATCCTGTGGGGATTTCAATGAATTTACAGACTAATTTGAGGACAACGGACATCTCTACACGTGCAAGTCTTCTAATCCATGACTATGATGTAGCCATCTGCTGAATCAGTGCCTGCTCTGTTTATTTCTCTTTGTAAAGTCTTGTGTCATTTTGTTCCACATGATTCTAAGCAATATAGGCTTTGTTGTTATCTTGAGTGAGATCTTCAATATACTATTTCAATTGGGGATTACCAAAATAATAGAAATCATTGCTTCTTATATATTATGTTGCTGTGTTCAGGAGTTTTTGCTTGGATGTTCTCAGTAGCTGGTGAAAACATCTACAAATTAAAGCACTTACTCTTACCTTACAGATCGGAGTAACTTTCAGTTCTTTTTATTGCTTCATTGCAATGGCTATTTCCTTCCAGTTCAAAATTGAATAGTCGTAGTAACAGAGAAAAACTTGGGATACTTTTTCCTGATTTGGATTAATTAACTCAGGAAACATGGTCCAGTCCCTGGGCAGGATGCTGGGGCTCTCATAAGAAACACGACAGATGTGGCTGTCACTCAAGGATGTCCTATGTGAATGTGTGGATCATGCAAAGGAATGCAAAGCTGTAACTGCAGCAGGCTGCTAGCAAGGAGAGGTACAGGGTGGAAAGCTGGAGATTTGGGGAAGGTGTTCCCTGAAGGTGACGGTGAAGCTGTGTGTGAGTTAATGTCCAATGTGAAAGAAAAGCACCCAGATGGAGGAGACAACATACAGAAAGGCACTGGTCAAAGCTAGAGGCTGTCACGGAAGAGCAGATCCCACTGTCACAGTGGGGATTTGCACTTACGCTAATACGAAGCAGGCCAGAATGATTCACAGAATCTATCAGAACAGAAGCACTGGTACGAACTGTGTCCAGCTGAATACACTCGGGTCAAGAGGGAAAGGAATGGGGAGCATGCGCACATGTATTTCTGCGCTCCATCAGCCAAGAGGGGCTGAAAGAAGCAGTGCTCCCCACGATGACACCTAGAGACTGCGTCTTGGTTTCTAACACTGTTTACCAATAAAAAGAATTGGAGCTCTGGGGAGAACATCTGATTCTAGGAGCTAGAAATACACAAAACGAACCGAGAGTATCTCTAAGTTTCAGAGAACAAGAGAGTCCTCAAAAAAGAAAGGAAAAAGAGAAGCCCACACACTTAGGTTACAGGCCAAGCAGTGAACCGATGGAGCCCCCAGTGGCCAAACGTGGAACAATTTCAGCGACAAAATAAGTGAAGCAGGACCGGAAGGGCTCAGCATGAAACCCCTCGGTCCATACTGACTGGAGCACGTGCCTGAATGAGGGAGGGAGGAGAACCAGACCTCCCAGGCATGAGAACTCCATCTTCCTGGAGATATTTTGTTCTCTTCCACCCCACAGCACAGCATGGAGGGAGGCGAGAAGGGTCACATTCCAGTGGAGAATCTGACCAGCACCAGCCCGGCCAGCTGATTGAAGAAACATCAACAGTTATGAACTGTAGGGGCAATGTGTGTGCACCTACGTGTGACGAGATGGAAGGACACCTCACCGTTGCGCTCCACTTCCCAGGGAGCAGAACTGGCTCTAATCCTGAGTAAACATCAGGCAGATTCCAACAGAGGGCAGCACTACCAAATACCTGACCAGGACTGCAGACGGTGCCTGGGGCAAGAGCGCGTGCCCCGCATGCACAGGCTCCGGCTCCACACACACACACATGCCCCTGACCAGTATACCGCAAAATGTCAAGGTCATCCAAAATAAGGAAAGTCTAGGAAACTGCCACAGCCAGCAGAAGCCTATAGGGCCTCGGTACCTAAATGAAATGTGGTGCCCTGAATAGGATCTTGGAACAGAGAAATGGCTCTGGGCAAAAAGTAAGGAAATCTGAAAAACTAAGAGCTTGGGTTGGTAATGATGTATCAGTATTAGCTCATTTATTCTAGCAAATAGATCATGCGGATGTGAAGGTGTTAAGAACACTGGCTGTGAGGTATATGGAAACTTGGGTGTTGCCGTCTTGGATTTTTAAAAATCAAACTAACTCTGTTCTTCAAAAATAGGGTTTAAAAAAAGACCAGTGTGGCTGGGATGGAGAGAATCAGGTGTATGGTGTGAAATGAATCTCAGTCATATCAGGACTGTTTTCTTTTTTATCCCAAGAGCAAAGGGAAGCCAATTTCAATGCGGATGGGGGTGTTTGTTATCTACGCTGAGCCTCTGAGAGCTCTGTCCAGTACAGACTTTGCATTCTGTGTGTTCAGACTCAGACAGTGGAGCTGGAGACAGAAGGAAAAGGGGTGGTTTCCCGGGAAAATGCAGGGTGAGCCAACTCTGGCGATGAGCCGGTGTTCCTTTTACCTTCCTCCCTGTTTCCTTGTTCAGACTCACTAAAGATTTCTATTGCACCGGTCCTTTCTGTGAGACAGCTGTTGGTACCCCACTGAGCCCTACTGCTTTCTTATCCATGACATCCGCTCCTGCTCTTTGTCTGTCCCCTCAGTGCACACGTTACCTTTGGCTGATGGTCGATGCGGTAGGAGGTCTGCTGGAACTGGCGTATCTCCCGGATGATGTGTGATATCTACCAGAAACAGGAACAACAAACAAAGACTGAATTGCACCCCCTTATCCTCCAGGGCTCCCCCAGGATTCCTTGCTCCTGGGGCTGAGCACTCCCCAGGCCTGGGGGTACTTTCCTTCAGGGAGCTGGGTGAAATGCCAGGAGCAGAAGACCCGGAAGCCCTCTCATCAGAGGCAGCTGGTGCTAGTGCCTCGGGTGTGGGACGGGCAAGCTCTGCAGCTCCTGTCCAGGGCTGGCTGCCCAGCAAGAAGCCCTCAGCCGCCATCCGCCACAGGTCAGGCTCACACCTCGGAGCTCTGCTCTCCTCCCCTGCCCCAAGCCTCCTCCGCAGCCAGCCGCAGGCACTGGACCGTCTCCACCTCCTCCCCTCCGCCCTCAGCCTCTTCGCTGTCATCATCACCGACACCGGCCAAAGACGAAGGCATCACCCACCATTCTCATTTTGGAGAAGTTGACAAGGCCTTCTTCGGTGAAGTTTGGTGTTCCCTCTTCAATAAACGCCAGGTCTGTCAAGTACATCCCGAGATAAGGAACTGCCGGGGGGTTACAACTGCAAGACCAAGAAGCACGGCTGTCACAGCAGTCACACGACTGTCTGCTTCCTCCCCAGTTCACACAGGAAGCCACTACCTACTTCAGGCCTGCAGAACAGACTTTCTATTTCACTTTCAGAAGCGTACTCCTGATGTGCAGAACTTAAACACATTTCCCAGAAGAATACAATACAAAATTACAGCCTTGCTTTACTCTGTCTGAGACAATGGTGTATTCCAATAGAATGTTGTAGGGACAGATACAAAACACTTGCTAGCAGGAATTGTTTGCAGTACTTATCAATTGGTCAGACTTCTTTGAAGAGGACAAGCATTGTCATGGTTTATATCTAGCTGTCCCCTGAAAGCCTCCTATGATCCCAGGTGGGCCCTTTGGAAGGTTACTGGATTATGAGGCTCACAGCTGACTTGCTGTTAGGAGGTGGGGTTTGGTCGGAAGAAGCCCCTGGGGCGTTTCCTGGCAGGGTGAATCTCTTTCCCTGCTCCTCCCTTTGCTCTCTGCTTCCTGTCCACCATGCCATGAGCAGCTCTCCTCCGCCAGGCCCCTCTTTTATGCTGTCCTGCGTCAGAGCCAGCAGACCACAGAAAGTCACCTTGAACCAAAACAAACCTCTCCTTGAAGTTGTGGGTGTCAGTTATTGTGTCTCGGTGATGAGGAAGTAACTAAGGCAAGCATACAGAAAACCCTTGTGCCCTCACTAAACTACAAACATGTGGCCTAAAGAACTGGTGGGGAAACTCGAGTGTGGCCAGAGCTCTCGCTACAGTAAGCCTGCTTCCTGTTTCAGTGCTGTGATATCTGGGGGACCAGACTTTAACACCATAACTGCACAGCTAAGGGAGACCCTGGTTTTGTTGCGGAGGGAACGGAGAATGCTTGGTCTCTGGGAAGAGGCCTGAGCCCCCGTCTTCCTTGCAGAAAGAATTGCGCTGGGTCCCGGTTCAATCAACAGCTCAGTGCTACTGGGCAAGCTCTGCAGGCTGTTTTCTCCTCTGTAAATGGAGCCAACAAAGCTTCCTGCCTTAGTGTCCTGTGAGGCTTACAAAAGACTCGTCAAGTACTTAGCATGGAAGTGTCATTCAGTAAATATCAGTAAAGAGCTCTCATGCTAGCATCGTGATTGTTGCTGCTATTATTAATATTTCTTTCCCGCATCCCATCACAAGACTAGTGCTTTTCCAGACTAAGTCAAAGTCATGTCATGACCAGGAGACAAGAAGTGCAGGAGAACATGTTCTATGCGGTGGGAGTGATGGAGGGGGAAGAGATCCAGAAATCTAAGGCCTCGAATAAACAACAATAATCAACAAGTTCTGGGATATTTAAATGAAAAATATCACAGGAAATCATTGTGCCAAGGCTCAGAAATACTGAAGCAAGAAACGTTTTACACTACAACACAGTTTGATTTATTCTGTGATATTTTCTTCTTGTCTGGAATATTCTGCGTACCATGAGTGCCTACATCAGGAGATGTATGCACAGTATTCCAAGGGGAAAGAGAACTCTAAAACACCCAGGTGATGGAAGTTGTTTCTGCTTGGTTTTCTTCTCCAGCAGTGAAGGAGGTAGGTCAGCATTTAGATATTATAAAAATAACAAAAATCATTCTGAACTCAAGCTAGACCTACTTTTTAAGGGTTTCTCTGAGATTTTTAAATCTTCCTTCAGATGAAACAGTCTTCTGAAGTTTGTCCATCAGAGCCTTTGTCTAAAACAGAGAGGAAAAACTTAGTTATGAGAATACCAGGGTTTAACCAGGTAGCCAGGTGCCAAGAGACGCTGGGTCCCCTGGTTCCACAGCAAACACCGATGCCGGGACCAGAGCAGAAGCTGAGGTGTGATGGTTCCCAGGGTGCAGAGGCAGGGCCTTATGTGACAGTCAGCGCTGAAAGAGAAACAGCGCATGTGGGAAGGAAGGGCCTTAGCCACACAGTCAGCCTCAGGCAGAGAAAAGTGTGCGGAAGAGAACTTGGGACCTGGAGACCTGGAAAGCAAGTGCTGACTGGGCTCCGCAAGGCGCCGTCCGCGTCTCCGTGGCGAAGCCCTCTGAGTGTGGGGCTCCAGACACCCAAGCACACCCCAGGAGGCTGGGGGCTCCACTCCGAATCCTTTCTTCTGGGATCACCATCATTGCTGTTTGGGAAAAGGAGGACTGATATTCAGTAAGAACTAACAATGTTGCCGGCACTGGCCTGAGTTTCCTGCAGGGACGTAGGAGCACGGCAGGGGGCCCTTGGGGACAAGGGGACAAAGGCCACCTGGCTGGGTGTGGACGCTCCAGGCCCTCTGCAGAGGACACTGGCGTGGTGGCTGAGGCTGCTGCAGACAGTGAGGACATTTCTGGTGGTGGCCTAACCCTTGCTTCTAGGGCCTCCGGGCCTCTGCGCTGGCCCAGGGCTGGACCTGGCTCAGAGGCTGTGGAAGTGCAGTGAGTCCCCAGCCACAGCCCGATCAGGGCTTCTGCACACCTCTGGAGCCACCCTCAGATCCGAGCAGGGGAGGTGCCGGCCCTGGACACGGCCTCTCTGGAAGACAGCATCGGCCTGTGCCAAGGCCACTGCAGGCAACTCGTACACTCCACGTAACACTTCTTCAGGTGTCTTATCAGAACCAGAAGCAGTAACTTCAACAGTACTCCGCCATCCGTATTCCATTGTCATCCCAAACCCGCATCCACTCAAGATGAGGGTGTCATGCAAGCCAACTGCAGAAAAGGCTTGCAGCTCCTCATCAGGAAGACCTGGGAATCCCATGGTATCAGATTCGCAGGAAAAGGCGAGCAGGAAGTGAAGACAAAAAGAGTTAAGACGTGACACACTGAGCCTGTGAGGGGTGGCTCTGTGAGTGACAGGGTGATGGGCCCCCCAAAGCCAGTGCCAATGGCCGAGGCCACTACGACCATGGGGGAGGCAAAACCTTGCCACACAGAGCAGTCAGTGTCCGGCTCTGGGGCACCCACACAGGTGTCGGAAGCCCATTTTAAAACAGTACTCTGGTATCCATTCATAGTTAAAAAATACTCAAAGGATAAAGGAGTGCTCTGTGGGAAAATGCACATGCACCATGACGTCATAACGTTAAGTGAGATAAATCAGACACACAGCTTAACATCACGTGGTTCCTTATAAGAGAAACCCAAAGCTTAAATAAAGAGCACCATGAAAGAAAGATAACAGGAAACTGGAAAACAGATCTTTTGCTAATGGGAAGGGGACTAAGAGATGGGGGAGGGGAGAGGAAGAAGGGGGAGGGGCACAAACAGAATCAGGATTAGTTATGTTCGTGTGCCGACTCCTCACAAGCAATGCAATCATTAGTACAGCACATATACTAATAACAGTAACACATTTTTTTAAACTCTTAGAAAACTAGGAAAAGAGGGTAACTTCCTCAATTTTACAAAAAGATATCATTAAAAAAAAAACTCTTTTTACCATCTTTTATGGTGAAAAATTGAATGCTTTCCCCCGAGATTGAAAACAAGGTGAGAATTATTTTTCTCACTACTCTTATGAACACAGTATTAGAAATATTAGCCAGGGAATTTGGGTAAGAAAAAGAAATAAAAGGCAGATAAATCTGAAAGAAGTGACTGGTCCTATTTTTAAATGGCATAACTGTCTAATGTGTAAAATTCTAAGAAACCTATTTTTTAAAAGCCTCTAGCACAATAAGCAAGTTCATCAAGATGATAGGTACAAGTTGGATGGTAAAAAGTCAGTCACATTTTTATATATGAACATTAAATATGTATGTGGAAACTAAAATTAAAACCACAGTAATAGTTAAAAATCTTTCCAAAGAAAATGAATTTTTTTTTGGGGGGGGTACTGGGGATTGAACTCGGGTCCTTGCGCTTGCAAGGCAGGCCACCGAACTGCTGAGCTAAATCCCCAGCCCAGAAAATGAAATATTTAGGGATAAACTTAACAAAACATATGCAGGACTTGGATACTGAAAAACTGCAAAATGGTGCTGAGAGGATCCCTAAATAAATGGAGAAATGTACTATGCTTAGAGACAGCAAGACAACATAGTAAAGACTGCTGAGCTATCCCCAGCCCAGAAAATGAAATATTTAGGGATAAACTTAACAAAACATATGCAGGACTTGGATACTGAAAAACTGCAAAATGGTGCTGAGAGGATCCCTAAATAAATGGAGAAATGTACTATGCTTAGAGACAGCAAGACAACATAGTAAAGATGTCATTTCTCCCCAAATTGACTGATTTAATGCAATTCCAACGAAGTCCCAAGGACACAGAGAAACTTACTCTAAAATTTGTATGGATAATCACAGTATCCAGTAAATATAAAACAATTTTTGAAGAAGAATAAAGAATAAAAATTAGCCAAAGACATGAACAGGTATTTGACAGAAGAGCCCTATAGATGGCAAATAAGCATGTGAAAAAGTTGTTAACACCCAGTGAACTATCTGAGTGTCTAAACTAAAAAATAATGATTCCATCAAATAATGCTTACAAGAATGCAGAGAATCTGAATTGTTCTTGCATTTCCAACAAGCATGCAAAATTTTATAGCCACTCTGGAAAAGGAGTTTGAAAAAGTTTTATAAAACTAAACACATACCATATGATGCAGAAATTACATTCTTGGACACTTAGAAATGAAAATTGATCACCCAAAACATTTAATGAATGTTCTTACAGCTTTTTAGCAACAGCCTGAAACTAGAAACTTCCCAAATGGACTACAAGGAGTGAATGGTGAAACAAACTGTGGTATGTCCATACAAGGAATACTACGCAGGGCTGGGGATTGTGTGTGTGTGTGTGTGTGTGTGTGTGTGTGTGTGTGTGTACATGACATGGGAAATTCACTCTTGTACTGGAACTTTCTGTGTTTTGATTTTGGTAGTGGTGGTCTTATTGATGAACCCATATAACAAAAGTACACAGAACTATTGATTCTCTCAAACACACACACACAGAGGACATAAGCCAATAGCATCTGAGTAAGATGGTTGGACTATGCTAATGTTCACAGATTTCCTTGCTGTGAGGTTGTCTACAGTTAGTTACACAAGAAGTTGCTTTTGGGGGAAGCTGGGTGTAATGTGTAGAGAATCCATATCATTTCCTACAACTGCATGTGCATCTACAATCACCTCAAAATAAAAGTTTTTTAAAAAAATAATAGTATTTTTAACTGTAGCTTTAATTGCCAGATCCAGGCTCTGCCGAAAATCAAAGGACTTGTGGGTTCTGAGGGCCAAAGCTGGGCTTTGACAGTGCTGCATTTCCCTAAGCAACTAGCAAACCAGCCCTGGTGCTTTTGCACATGGAGAAGTTGCAGCAGTTCCCCCACTACAGGGAAAGGCTGGACAGAGAAATGAAGAAGTGATGAGCGTCTCTGAGAGAGATTACATCCTCAGAGGGGAGGAAGCCGGGCAGCATTGGGCAAACATTCTCTTTCAGCAGGATACATTCCTGCTCTTCTTCTAGTCTGGAGCCCTACACACAGGCACCCTGCCGATGTTCCTCACCAACTCTGCTGGGCGGATCAAGGCAGGCACAACTGAGAGGACAGGGAACGTCACCTCATGCCCACGGGCACCAGTGGGTCCCGGAACAGTCTGGAAAATCCCCGAGGCCCTCTGAGAGAGTGGGGTAGTGACCTCATAATCACATGTCCTCCAAGGGTAGCTGTGACCCTTACACCTGATGCGTCAACTGCCCTGCATTAAGGAAGCCTAGCAGACTGTAGAGCAGGCTCCTGGGTGTCTGTGGGTTGTGTAGGTGGGGCCTTGGGTCTATAACCAGTCCCCCCTTCCTTTTTCTGTGCTCTGCTTCCTGGCTGCCATGAACCATGCAGCTTTGCACCCCACACCCTTCCGCCCTGATGGCTCTGCCTTGGGGCCAGATGACCATGGACTGAAGCCCCCAAAACCATGAGCCACATTAAACTTCTCCTCCTTTAAGCTATGTCAGGTATTGTGTCTTAGCAATGAGAAAGCTGACTAATACAATGGCCAAGGGGCAGAGAAGCCTATCACAGAGACGAGACACAACCAGGCTCAGAGCATCAGCAGAATCCATGACAGTAAGATGGGGCAAGGTCAGCTCAGCTTCCTGGGTGCTATGACTGGGCATGATTCCAGGCAGGTTGGGCAAACACGAACACACATGTGCCATCCTGTATGCATGTGTAGCCAGCAAAGGACCACAGGAGGAGGTTGAAGTGCAGGGTGGCATCCAGCAGCTCAGAGAAGCCCCCACCCAGCCCAGAGGAGGCCTGGGGAGAAGACAGAGGAAGAGCAGAGGTCAGGTTTGCATCTTAAAATTATCTGAATGAAAACAGGCAGCAGAAAAGCTGAATCCAGTGGGAGAATACTGAGAAAGTTGTATTTCTACACATCCGCGCCACGAAGCCAAACTTTAGGTCTGCTACACGAATGACAAGCAGAAGAGTGAACGCTGCGTCCTATGGCCCTACTCTGTACACTTCTGTAGGGCAGAGAGAAGGCTCCGTCAGTCACCACCGGAACCCCTCCTGATGGACAGGCATCCCGCTCGTGTGCAAGGTCGCCCCCCAGAGGTCTCTGGGACGCTCTGGGGATGCACATGAGCGGGATGCATTAAGCAGAAAGAGCACAGTAATCACCCAGGGTGGCACCTTGCTTTGGCACCATGCTGCCCAACTGAGGGAACGATCTGATCTAGTGGTAGTCCAGTGGCAGGCGCTGTGGCACGGGCACTCACCTGCTTGGACACTTTGGCCCAGGTTTTCTTCAGCCTGTAGATGGCACTTCTGTTCAAGGCCGAGGTGATCTCCAGCACACCGTTGTAATTGTGCAGGCATCGGCAAATGTCTGCCACCGCCACCCACTTCTCAATGGCGCTGGCACGGGAGCCGACGTCCGCATGGTTCATGATCTGGGAGGCCACCAGGTTACTCATCTGCGACAACCAGAGACCAGGGAGGCTGTGCAGGTGCCGCAGCAGCGCATTAAGACAAAACCCCCAAGTTCCCTGCAGTTCTAGCAGGAAAGCAGGGTGCCCAGCATCGCAGAGCTTGGACATCAACTTTCTAAAGAGAGTAAGGTCTGTGCCGGGGTTTAGCTCAGTGGTTCCACCACCTGCCTCACAAGCACAAGGTCAGAAGGAGGGGAGGAGGAGAAGAAAGAAGAAGAAAAGAAAAAAAAAATCTGTATGAAGGTAACTGCTCATTCTTGGAGCGGGGACAGCACTCTGCAATCCAGCTTGTCAGAGTGAAAGGTGATTTTGCTAATCAGGAAGCTTTCTGCAGCAGATATTGCCAATAATCACGGAGGAGACGGGACGGGATAACCCGACTCCCTAGCCAAGCGATGCTTGGAAATCCTGCTGTCTCTTCTTGAGGACATGAACTTCCTGGTGTGTGAATCTGTACTCTGGGAGCCCAGTTATCATGGGGAGAGAGGACACTCACATCCCTCCGGTAGGCAGGACAATACTAAGCCAGCCAACTCTCAAGCGGAAACCCTGAGCTGTGAAGGCCGTGACAGCATTTGCTCCCTCTTGTAATTTGTCACCAGCAGTAAAAGGGGCCCTCTGCTTCCAGGTTAAGTCCTGTGACTCTTTTTTTTTTCCGGTACCGGGGATTGAACTCAGGTCCTTGCGCTTGCAAGGAAGGCCACCGAACCGCTGAGCTAAATCCCCAGCCCCAGTCCTGTAACTCTTAGTCAGAGCCAGTGTGAGAAGCTCAAGGCTTGCAATATGGAAGGGACAGGAAGAGCAGGATATGAGCAAGGGGACCATGGACAGATCTCTGGCAGGGTGAAGGACACTCACTGCCCGCAGGGAGGACCAGGGCACCAGGAGGTGGCGGGGAGTGGAGTCGGTGTTCCTGGAGGGAAAGGAGGAGAGGGCAGGCCGGAGGCAGGTGGGGGCTAGGAGGGTGTGAGGCATGGGAGAGGAAGGGCGAGCTAGGGCACAGGCGCCCACGGTGGCCCGGACCCCGCCAAGCGAGTGTGTGGTGAGCCATCTGCCAGGGCGGGCAGGGAATCTGGCTCAGCTGGTGCAGTAACCACTTCCACCAGCCACCTGTGGACAGTGCATGCTGCAGCCATGTGAGTGGAGGACACGGAGTCTGTGACCACATCTGAGAGTTCAGTGCGCCCAGAGCAGGTGCTGGGCAGGTGACAGAGAGGCTGCTCAGTGACCCAGGGGTATCACACACCTGTTCTTTAGCAGCAGTGGTGCTGACGCTCATTATCTGGTGGCACATGCAGCATCTGTGCCCTAAGCATGCCTGGCACAGTGCTGTCAATTCAAAAACTCTGTTACAGTAAAAGACACATCGCCATGAATCCCGAAATCCTCACCCTCGCTTCTAATGCACTCATGCCAACATCCTTGACACTTTCTATAGCAGTCCTGGAGGCCCTCTTTCCTGAGTCTTTCCAAGGTATGATGAAAAAGTACAGTGACTGCTACCGCCAAGCACCATCCAGTAGAAAGGCAGGTCATAAAAACATGGCACTTTTCCTCCTCCAGCTGATTCACTGGATCTGGCAATGTGCAACTTCTGGCTCTTCCCCAAAGTCAAAATGACTGTGAAATGTCCACGTTTTGAACTGGTTCAGGGCATCGAGGTTGCCAGAACAGAGCCACTAAAGACACTCAGGAAAGAGGACCCCAGAGCTGCTACAGAAAATGTCAAGGACAAGGGGTAAGTGTTTGACGTGAGAGGGAGGACTTTGAGGGGACTCATGACAATGTGTCTTTCGCTGCAATAAATTTTTTAAAAATTAAACATTCACTATATTTTTATCACAGCTCCTAGTTTCTGTGCTTGGATTCTGGATGACTGGCTACTGTACCTATGGGGCTCCTCTGTTGTGTGGAACACTGTGGGTTTCCCTTTTCTTGCTGCTTCATGGAACTAGAAAGGGAGCCTTCCCTCCAAACAGACCAGAAGACCCTTCCGTCTCCCCTGGATTCCCACAGCACTAAGACTGGGAGGACAGAACTGCAGAGCACAGCGGTGCAGGAGCAGCTCCAATCTTTGTGCTGGGAGCAGGCGGAGCTGGAGCTGGACCTGCAGCTGGTCACCTCCCCACAGCCGTGGGACCACAGCCCAGGGACACTTCTGATGCCGGGATGTAGTCTGGGCTGAAGACTCGGCAGTGAGGAGGCAACAGTGCGCCAGCCCAATCCTACCACCACCACCAGAGGCCAGGACACAGGCTTTGCTTGCTCTGTCTGTCCACGGATGGCCACAGGTAATGAGCACAGCAACGGTCATCACAGACTCCTAGACATTAGGCTCCTACCAGACTCCTTCAAATGGAGCCTCTGCTGCCAGGGAATCACTGGAAATGACCACGATCCTGGGAGCTGCTGGAAGAGGCTCAGCTTGTGTTTACTCATGCATGGATCTAAGTAAGAGGCAGGTGGTGGAGTCACCTTACAGTGGGGTTCCTCCGACCCCAGGCCTCACACATGCCGAACCTGGGGAGCTGCAGGTACTCACATCATTGAAGTGCTGGCTGGTCTTCGTAATGCAGGGCGTCCTCTCACTCTTGTCCAGCTTCATCCACCCCTGCCCAAGAAACTCTCTGAAAGGTCAAACCGAAACAAACCCGATCAGGTCCGCCTGGAATGCCACCTGCAGCTACAGACCGGCTCCGGGGACACAGGGGATGCCAGCGACCCACCCTGCGGGTGCTGAATACAAAGGCTCTGTCACTCTCTGGCTTCCTCCTCATAAATGTGTGACACTTGCCCCTATGAAGGCTTCTCAGAAGTTGGAAACCAACCGCCAAGAGCGAAGAAATGAAGAAGTTCAGTACTAACTCAGAAACCAAGACGACCTCCATGGATTTGCTTCTTTTAAAGGTTAAGCCTCAGCAGAGGCCCCCAGAATCCACCACGACCAGGAATGTTAATGGGGAGCAGAACGGTTCCCTCCACGCTGCCCTGGGCTCTCTGGGGCACGGTTCCCAGGGAGGGCTTTGCTCTCTCCAGAGCCGGGGCAGTGTCCGCATCCAGCACCCGACAGGCTGTCCCTGTGACACCGGCCCGGCACAGCCCCGACACAGGCAGCCAGGCATGCTCAGGCCAGCCAGGCACGGTCTTCAGAATAGCACCTGGTCACCATTCCTGCACAGCAGCTCATTGGATCGAGGAGGGAGGTGCGAACCCAGACCGATTAGTGAGCACCGGCGTCTGTGAGCGACCAGCTTGCAGCAGGGTCACGCTGCACCGTGCTGCCAGCAGCCTTGTGTGGGTCCTCTGCCCTTGCTGAGGCTGCTCCCGTCTTTCGGGGTTTGATACGGAGCTGCCCCAAGTCCACATGTGGTGGTAACCGGGACTCAGGGGTTCCTTGGAAGGGACCATACTGAGGGCCACCAGCAAGGTCCTGGTCTTGCCTTTCTCCTCGCCCTCAACGTGCTGTGGGGAGTGAGGAGGCCAGGGGCGGTGGGAAGGTGCTGTGCCTCCTGAGTCAGCTCTGCAAGCAGCTGCCACCCAATGGACCACCCTCCAGTTTCAGTCCCTTGCCTCCTGGGGCCTCACACGTGCTAGGCAGCCACAGCCCAGCCCTGAATTCTCGGAGGGAAAGAGAAGCTGAGCAGCCTGGCTCCCACCCTCTCTCTGAGAAAGCTTCAGTCCTGATCCCTCAGCTGTGGCCTGAGCTCCACAGACAACGCTGTCCCACGCCTGTTGCTCCTGAATGGGATCTCTGGCCCACAGAGGCCTCGCCCCGCAGCCACCTTTTGCCTAAACAGGAGCTGCTGAGTCTGAAGCTCAAAGAGCTCCCACCCACACAGGATGCAAGTGGAGGCCAGAGGGCAACCAGTGCTTGGTGCTGCCTGCTGTCTCCCGGAGGCTGAGGGATCACAGCCAAATGTCCAGCGGTCAACCTGGACCCCAGCTCTCCAAGCACTCCATAGCTGGGTGCAGAACTCAGCAGTGAGGCTTGCTTTGCAGGCACAAGGTGCTGGGCTCAATCCTATCATCACCAAAAAAGAAAAGGGGGTTCCTTTCCAACAGGCATCAAAACTTTAAAAGGAGAGAAAGAAAAAATAGCCTCCTGGCCTCAACCCCTCCTCCTAGAATCACTTTCTGAGGGGGTCTGGGATGGACTTTTTAAATAAGCTTCCTTCCAGGTGGCTTCCAGCACCCTAATGCCACAGTCCACTCTGTGTGGTGCTGAGCTTCTGCAACAGGAAGGGTCACACGCCATGGTACAGGTGCAAACACAGGCACATCTGAGAGCCCCTGGTCAACACTCCAACATACACTGGAACCAGAAGCAGCCAAGCAGGGCAAAAGCATTTAGGGTTAAGATGCACAGCCAGGTATAGTGATGCACATTTTGCAATCCCAAAGACTCTGGGAGGCTGAGGCAGGAGGATCACAAGTTTGAGCCCAGCCTGAGCAATTTAGCAACTTAGTGAGACCCTGCCTCAAAATGAAAAATAAAAGGCTGGGGATGTAACTCAATGGAAAGTCTCTAGGTTCCATCCTCAGGACTGTAAATAACAACAACAATAATAATAATTCTGTGCGTGCACACACACACGCACACACACACACACACACGTCTGCCTCAGCAATACCATGGCAGCCAAGACTGCACCATGAGGGACGGAAAGTCTCTAGGTTCCATCCTCAGGACTGTAAATAACAACAACAATAATAATAATTCTGTGTGTGCACACACACACGCACACACACACACACACACACACGTCTGCCTCAGCAATACCATGGCAGCCAAGACTGCACCATGAGGGCCCCACTCACTTGTAGGGGATGCTTCTGAAGACGACATGGTCCAGCAGTGTGATCTGCTCAGCCAGCTCCATGGCTGACAAGGACTCGAAGCACTCGGCCTTCAGACAGTCAGTCTGCAACACAGGAGGGAAGGAGGAGGCTGCGGGCGGTCGGACCCAGGACTGCCCCTCCCTGCAGCTCCAGGAGGCAGACAGCAGGCCTGCAGCAGTGCTGGGGAGCACGTCCCAAGATTCTAGCTGTGACAGACACTGCTGTCAAAGCCAACATTAATCTCGGCATCCATGGCCAGAGCCCAGCCTGAATGTGATTTGCCAACAGAGCCTTGAGGACACAGGGTCACCTGGGCATGAGGAGTCACTGGGTGTGTGCAATGGGCAGAGAGGTGGTGGGCTTACCATCTGGATTATGTCCTCTAACTTCAGGTGGATGTCATCCTGATCCTCTTGGGACAGTGCCCTACAAAGAATCAAAATAGCCTAGATCAGGATGGCAAACCATGGCACGAGTGCCACAGCGGGCTGTTTGTTATCACTGAAAGCTCAAAGAGGTTCGCCATCACTGGCCTAGATGTAGAAAAGAAAATCCTCATTTCTTAGGGAAGAGAATGCAGGTGCTTCCTGGGGTGGGAGGAAATCTGGGGGCTGGGAAGGAGCGAGGTTGTGGGGTGCAATGGGATTGAACTGGGGGGAGTGGCTGGTTGTGAGACAGCATTTACTCAAGAGCAGGAGATTGCGACTGGGCCTCAGAGGGAGGCTGGGAGGCAAAAGCATTTAGGGTTAAGATGCACAGCCAGGTATAGTGATGCACATTTTGCAATCCCAAAGACTCTGGGAGGCTGAGGCAGGAGGATCACAAGTTTGAGCCCAGCCTGAGCAATTTAGCAACTTAGTGAGACCCTGCCTCAAAATGAAAAATAAAAGGCTGGGGATGTAACTCAACGGAAAGTCTCTAGGTTCCATCCTCAGGACTGTAAATAACAACAACAATAATAATAATTCTGTGTGTGCACACACACACGCACACACACACACACACACACACGTCTGCCTCAGCAATACCATGGCAGCCAAGACTGCACCATGAGGGCCCCACTCACTCGTAGGGGATGCTTCTGAAGACGACATGGTCCAGCAGTGTGATCTGCTCAGCCAGCTCCATGGCTGACAAGGACTCGAAGCACTCGGCCTTCAGACAGTCAGTCTGCAACACAGGAGGGAAGGAGGAGGCTGCGGGCGGTCGGACCCAGGACTGCCCCTCCCTGCAGCTCCAGGAGGCAGACAGCAGGCCTGCAGCAGTGCTGGGGAGCACGTCCCAAGATTCTAGCTGTGACAGACACTGCTGTCAAAGCCAACATTAATCTCGGCATCCATGGCCAGAGCCCAGCCTGAATGTGATTTGCCAACAGAGCCTTGAGGACACAGGGTCACCTGGGCATGAGGAGTCACTGGGTGTGTGCAATGGGCAGAGAGGTGGTGGGCTTACCATCTGGATTATGTCCTCTAACTTCAGGTGGATGTCATCCTGATCCTCTTGGGACAGTGCCCTACAAAGAATCAAAATAGCCTAGATCAGGATGGCAAACCATGGCACGAGTGCCACAGCGGGCTGTTTGTTATCACTGAAAGCTCAAAGAGGTTCGCCATCACTGGCCTAGATGTAGAAAAGAAAATCCTCATTTCTTAGGGAAGAGAATGCAGGTGCTTCCTGGGGTGGGAGGAAATCTGGGGGCTGGGAAGGAGCGAGGTTGTGGGGTGCAATGGGATTGAACTGGGGGGAGTGGCTGGTTGTGAGACAGCATTTACTCAAGAGCAGGAGATTGCGACTGGGCCTCAGAGGGAGGCTGGGTGTCGGTGCGCTGTCCTGCAGGCCATCCGGAGAGGAATCCAGGTCAGACCCGAGGACATCGAGCGCGGTCGCAGGCCTAGGGCACATCTGCTCCCCAGTGCCTCCCTCACACTCCACAGTCACCACTTCCGGCCTAGGCCGAGCGAAGCGTGGAGCACTTCCCGTGTGACAGAGCTGCCTTCTGCTGGCCATGCATGTACCCAACACGCGGCGCTGGCCAGCTCACTAAACAGCTGTGAGTTTTCTATGAGGCTGAGGCAGGCTGCTCACCACACACAGCTTCTGCTGCTTACACCCCGGGTCATATATCGGAAAGGCACACAGGCCCCCATGTCAGGCGACAGTCAACTACATGAGGAATCATTTGCAGGAAAATGGAGGCACCGTGAGACCACAGAGCTCGGTGAAATAAACCAGACACACAGCTTAAATATCACACGGTTCCTCTGCTATGGAAAACTAAAGTATAAGTAAATTAAAGAGCAAAGCGAATGACAGGTAACAGGAAACAGGGAGACAGAGCTTTTGCAAAAGGGAAGGGAGCCGGGAGGGAGGGAGGGAGGGAGCGAGGGGAAGGATATGCAAGAAGAGCGAGGGCCCCGTCCACGCACCGGCGCCCACCGTGCCTGTGGGAGACTCACAGGAGACTCAAAGGGCAGGGACTGAACGGCAGCCACTCCTCCCTCCCGAGGTGTCACCTGTGCTCGCAGGTTCACGACTGGCCCTGCACAGTGGCCACCCCACCCCTGGCCCAGCCCAGGCAGGACAGGTTTGCTCCTCCCCTCCCGGCTACCTTGGGGTTGTGACAAACACACCAGGGCCCCGGGTCCCCCCCACCCCACCTCTACCAGCAGTGTAATCTGTTTAGTGGCTGCGCATTTGCAATGAGACACCAAATCATGTCCAAGTTCTGTGACTAGGAAAGTCTTCCTTCAGTTCTACAAATCAAGGCTGTGTACCAACAAAGCCCAAAGCAGCTGCCCTGACGTCAGTCTGCTCTCTGTGAGCAGTAAGAACATTGCGTGGCCAGGACCTCCGTTGATGGCCCTTGCACCACGCAGCTTGAGGGCGGAAACTCCCCTAAGAGCTCCCAGGGCTTCTGATTCCCTCTGGGCAATGCTGTCCTGAATCACAGAGGGCCTGTGGTCATCACGACAACCCCATGACACAGGCCGCACCAGCCCCAGGGCAGAGAGGAGGCGGCAGATGCTCAGGCTGGCTGAGAAACCGGACGGCTCTGAGTGGCTCAGCCAAGACTCAGGCCCACGACACCCGGCCAGCGTCAGCACCAGCGAGCTCAGTGCTTGTCCACTAAAAGTCCATTCCCGGAGCCTCATGCTTCTGTGTCCTGGGTCACTCGGCAGGCAGAGCTGGCACATCGTGGGCCCGATGCTGACAAAGAGGGCGGTGGACAGGACTCGTCCTAGGCACAGGCCTCAGCTGGCTGCTTTCTGGGGTCACCTCTTGATGCAGAGAAGCCTCCCGGTGGGTTAGGAAGGCCTGGCGGAGTTGCGCGGGCATCAGATGCGCCTCAGACACAAACTTCCGGAACATGGTTTTTACACATTAGTGCTTTTAGATGTAAAGAGCGTAACACATTGTTCCATGAAAAGAAGCAACGATCGCTCCCACTCAGGAGTGCTCGCCCACTGAAACCAGCCTTTACCTGAATCCACATTTATCACTTTAAAGTCAGAAAACAGACTCAGTGGTGAAACTCTAGACTCACTGAGATGTCTTTGTGGAATGGAAAAAGTGGGGAAGATCTCTTCACAGCTCCCCAGGAGTGCCCTAAGGAGACTTCACCAATTCGGCAGTTCACAGCAACAGAGGGCCTTGCCTCACAGCTCTGGAGAGGCAGAGATCGGGGTGTTGGCAGGGCCACATGGCTTCTGAGATCTGCAGGGGGACCCTTCTGTTATAGCAGAGATCTAAAGTGTCCCCCAAGTCTAAGAGTGTGGGAGGTGACTGGGTCATGGGGGCTGCACTCGTCAGCGGATGACTTCACTGATGACTTCACACTGAATGAGTGGCTGGGAGGTGTGGCCTGGTTGGACATGTGTCCCTGGAGACGTGACCGGGAAGGGTGCGTTCCTGTCCCTGCTCCTCCCCTCTCTCTGCTTCCTGGACACCATGACGTGAGCAGCTGTCCTCTGACACAACTTTCCACTGTGCCGTTTCTGCCATGGAGCCAACCAACCAAGGACTGAACCTACTGAAACCGTAAGCCAAATAAACCTGTCCTCCTTTAAACGGTGGGTGTCCAGTGTTGTGTCCTAGTGCCAGGGAAGTGACTGATGCATGGTCTCCGCCTTTCCTAGCTAATTTAGATTGCTTGCCAGGAATCTCTGGTGTCTGTGGCTCACAGTTTTACTGCCCCAGCCTCTGCCTCCATCTTCACAGGACACCCTCTCTGTGTCTCTGACTTCCAAGACCGTCTTCTTCTGTGGTTATTCACTACATTTGGTTAGGAGTCCACCCTACTCCAGTCTGACCTCAACTGATTCCATCTACAGTGGTCTCATTTCCAAAGAAGGTCACGTTTTGCAGTACCAGAGGTTAGGACTTCAACATACCTGTTTCGGGAGGGAGACATGAGCTGACCTAGAACACGCCCTACACCAAGGAATGGTGTGGCTGTGGGAGTGCTAGCTAACAAGGGCAAAGAATGACTTATGGGCCAGTTGCTGAAACAGTACTATCCAGAGGAGACGTTGTAGCCAGGCGTGAAAGGAAAGAAAGCAAAGATTTCTTCCAGAGACTGCAGTGCAGAGGAAGTGAGAAGCACAATGGTAGAGGAGCCCAGGCCTCAGAACAGAGCCCGGCTTCCCGTTCTCAGGTCGGGACAGGTATTCACAACACTGGCAGTGGCTCTCCCGTGAGGAGGGGAAAGGAAGACACCCACCCCCAGCTCACGAAGCCGCGGGAAGCCATCATCCACTGGGTGCCAGGTGACGACCGCACACAGGGGGCCCTCACCTCAGGATGTTTGCTGTGGCTTTCCTCTCCTGGGGAAGCAGGTCTGGGTCTCGCAAAACTTCTTCTAGCAGATTTAGCACATTCATCTTCAGTTCGTTGTTGAGTTCAAAATCCTACAAAACAGAAGGAATCTTTTAAAGATGTTACTTACTTTCTAAAGGTTTTTGCTCTGCGAATGTGACGCCTTTCCTCAGGACTCTGGAAGGGGGACACAGAGAGTAACATGTGGCCCCTAGAGCCACTCCCAGCCCCAGATCTGAGGCTGTCATGGGCCCAGCCGGTGGCATTTCTGACTGCATCCCCAGGCAATGGCCATGTGCAGGCTGAGATTTCCTGTTCCTGGGACATTGTCCTTACTAGACTAGACTACACAAGGCCCACACCGTGTCCCTTTCATGGTCATCTCGACTCTGGGGCAGAGCCAGAAGTCGCTCGCTGCCAGATCTGCTGGACAGGTGGATGAGGGCCCTGTCAGGTTACAGGAGCTGCCTTTCCATTGGGTGGTGCTGGACAGCAGCAGTCACTGTACTTTTCTTCCATCACACTTGTGAAGACACAGGAAAGGTGACACCAGGATGGCATCCGAAAGGGGCCAAAAGAAGGAGTAAGTGTGCTCAGAGCAAGGCAGGTTCTGAGGGAATTCATGGCAAGCGTTTCCCTTGCGCACTTGCTCTTGTCCTAATTTACCATAGGGCCAACTGAGACGCCCAGTTTTCTGTTACCACCAGGGGCTGGAAATCACCCCGACCCATGCTGGGCCCAGACCGCAAAACTCCCGCCCCAGTGCACAACCTTGATCTGATTTCCAGGAAGCAGTGACCTGAACTCTTGAGCGATTCGAATGCCCTGAAAGACAAAGGAAATCTGAGGAAGAGGAACTGTGAGAGGAGAGAGGACAACGGCCCAACGCAGCGCAGGTACCAGGGTCAGACCCGGCCATGGAGGAAAGGCCGCCGAGAGTCACCGCTGTGGCAGCGGCCCGCCGCGCCCGGGGACTGCCCTGGGAGAGAGCCCCGCACGGTCCTGGGTCTGCACCCTCCCTGCCGACCATGTGAGAGCGGGACCTGCTCCTGGGCCGGCTGCCGTAACACGCGTCCCGAACAGTGAGTCCGGATGCACACGAGGGAACTACGTCCCATTCTGGCAGTTTTCTCTGCATTGATTGGAAATTTTCCAAGGTAAAATGTGGGGTGGGGGGTGAAAAGGCAGAGTGTGGCTCCTCCCCTCCTTCATTAAATATATTCCTACAAAGCATCTCAAGGGACTGCTGGGCGTCCAGAGCACCTGCTGCCCGCACGCAAGGATCCCCCCACAGACCAGCGCCCCTGCATGTGACCACCACCATACATTTCATTGGGACAGTCACATGATTATATTACTAACGTAAATTCTTAGAATTACATTTTAACTTTAAGTAATTTTGAAGCACAGACATTCTGAGTTCTTTGCCAAGAATACTGTTAAGTGCAATGAATCAGAGAAAAAGGAAACAACATTAATTTTACTCTATTTCATCAATGAGAGGCAGGATGGCCGTAACTTCCCAAAGTATAGACAATGCAAAAATCTAACCTGCTTTGAGTTGAATATTTTTACCATCAGTTTGATGGCAAGTTGCGCCCTAATTCTTAATATTTCACTTCCACTGTTTGACAGTAGTATCCTTCCTTGGGGATCGTGTAAGAGACACTGGGCCTTGCTGGGGAGCAATGCAAATGTTAGTTTCTCTTGTCAAGCCCAGGGCTTCAGATAGTATGTCTCAGTCACAACACCCGACACCCACAGTTTATGGGGCTCACGGATCAGAGAGACCTGGCGGAGGAGAGCTGCTCAGAGCATGGTGGACAGGAAGCACAGAGAGGGGAGGAGCTGGGGAAGACAAAGTCCCTTCCGGGCCCCAGGGACCACCTCTTCCGACACCAAGCCAGCTGTAGCGCCTCACAATCCAATCATCTTCCACCTCCTCTGTGAGGGCAGGAGGCTTTGGAGGGCATCCAGAAAGATACCATAACAACATGCTCCTAAAAATTCAGCTGTCTGTTGTCTAACAGCTTCTTGCTGTTAATTTTGCTTTTAAAATGCGTGCAAGGAGAAGACAATAATCTGCTGCTGCTCCCCTCACCCCATCCCAAAGGGAAGGGCATCTTTTAGCAAGGAGCTAATGATCTCTCTCCTGGTCTGTCCACACTCACACAGGCTCACTCGGCCAGCAGGACTCTATTTCCTTCCTTAATGAATATTTGCTGTACATGAGGAAGACAACCGCGTCCTAGCAGAGCTCGGTGGAGACTCCAAGGATGCAAATAATCTGCTTATCGTAAACCACAGGATTAGGGTGAAGGGCATTGGGCTGCTGTGGGCCTTGCTGAGGGTTAACTGGTGTTTTAATTGACAAGCATCACCAGGTACCTGCTGGTTCCCACCCTGGGCTCCATCAGGGTGCAGGAAGGCTTCCAGGACAGGGGAAGGTTTTCCTAAGGAAAACAGAGGCAGCTTTATTATCCTGAGCTCTGGGAAGACTGCCTGGGGAGGGCATGCGGAGGACTCCGAGACATCTGTCCGACACTACCAAGGGAGGCTGCTGGCTGGGGACAGCGGGGCATCTGCCCTACTGCTGTCAGAGTCAGTGTCTGCAGGCTGAGCCAGATCTGAGCGTTCTCTTGGGTTTTCACAGGTGGGGAGTGACCTCATGGGAGTGACCACAGCTCCTCCTCCTCCCTGAACCCAGCAGCAGACAGCCAGGGCCTGGACTGTGGGGGCCCACGGGGGCGGAGATCAGACCAAGGAGGGGACGGTGTGTCGGGGAGGACACAGTCCACCTCCGACTCCTGTCTCCCATGCACAGGAACCACGGGCCTCGAGTTCAAATGTGGATTCTGACTCCACAGTTTGCCGTGGTTCTGGGATCCTGTGTCTCCCAAAGCACAGCCCCCAGGGTCCATGATCGTGTTCTGCCTTTTTTTTAAAGTCACACAATAAACAACTCCTCAGAAAACAAACAAAACCTGAACCCGCTGATAAGTGCGTGTAAGATACGGACTGGTGATTCAAGAGTCTCTTTTAAAACTATAATGTGTAATCTGACTCTACTGTGGATGTTAAATTAAAATTGCATCACACTAGACACATTTCCAGAGCCCCTCAGAACCCTCACCCTCGATTTGAACGCTCTCCTCCCATGTCCTTGCCGCCCTCTGCAGCAGCTCTGGAGCCCTGTTTTCCAAGTGTCTTTAAGAGGTGTGATAAAACACGCGGGGACTGCTGCTGCCCAGCGCCATCCCACAGAAAGGCAGCTCATGAACACAGGGCACTGTGCCCTCCTCCACCTTATCCCCTAGGTCTCACACACCAGGCAGCTTCTGCCCTCCCCAAAGCCAAAATGACCACGACCGGGAAACGTTCTGAGTGGATTCAAACATAAAGGGCAGCACATCCAGGAAAGAGGATTTGAAGAGCTGCTTCAGAAAGCGGCAAGGGCGGGGATAAGTGTGTTCAAAGCAAGGGGAGGACTCCTAAGGGGAGTCATGGTAATGTCTTTTCCAATAAATAAACATTTAAAAAACCTTTAAATAGTCACCTTATTTTTCGATCACACCTTGCACAGCTGTTTCTCAATAGGAAAAAAACCTGTGGCTGGAAAAGACATCTGCCCTGTTTGCTCCAGAGGTAACCTGCTCACAACACTTCCTACTGAGACTGGCTTGTAACTGGAAGCTAACTGGGGCGCCTGTCCTGGTTTGGGGCCCAGCGCCTCCGCAGCGGCACCAGGAGACGGCCAGCAGGTGGCGCTGTGGGCCGGCCACTGGCGCTGTGAAGTCACCGGCAACAAGTGAGCTCAGCTCCTTTGGGGTCCCTGAACCCCGCTGAGGACACAGAGGCTGACAAAAAAGTCTTCAAGGGTGGAGAGTGCAGAATGAGATGAGCCGCTACCAAAGAAGGAGGACGGTCAGTTTTCCCTGCTCAGTGGCCATGCCTGGCGGCTAATCACGGTCCTAACGACACTGAACCACCTGACCCGGTTCAGCCTTGCAGCACCAGGCGCACCCACTCTACCTGCAGGAAATCCGGGTCCACGGCGAAAGCCCCAAGGCTCGCGGGCAGCCAGCACACCCGGGCCTCGAGGCAGGGGCCCGGGCCTGAGCTTTTAACCACCGGGCTGCGACGCTTGCAGGAAAAGCAGCCCTGGGTGCTGGCCTAGTGCGGCTGGCCCGGGGAGCCTCTGAGATGTCCAACGGCGGCAAAGTCTGGGACAGTGTCCCTCCTGGACCCAGATCTGCAGTCTGGGAGATCGATGAGACTCCGTCACGCAATGCAAGAGCAACCTAACGACCCAGCATCTTCAAACCACTCCCTGGCGCCCGCTCAGGGGTGCTGGAACTCACACTCTCCCCGGGGAGCCATGGAACGCCAGCACCTTGGGGAAATCCGGACCAGCACGCGCGCTTTGGAGATAAGAGAGTTAGGAGAGATTTTCTCAGCATCTAAGAGTGGCCACAATCAGAGAGGAAGAGGAAAGCAGAAGTAAGTGCAGTGGAGGAAATCTACACAAATAATGTATAAATCTGGAACCGAGGGGTCACAAAGGGGCTGAGAGATGGTGAGTTCCAAATAGGAGATGGGGGTTTAACTTTCACAAACCTGAAAACATGCTACTGTGCGCGGAGGTCTTCTTTGACGCCACAAAACGAAGGCTGTACTGTGGTGATTCCAGTTAGTCAGCCATTTTATAAACTGGGAACTGAGGCGGCCATTCCAAGTGAGGCCTCAAGAGATGCGAATCGGCTGCCGTGGCTGGGACAGCACCCACTCGGGTCAGAGAGGCCATCACAGCGCTCAGCAGTGTGGCATTCGACTCCCGAGGAGGGGAGACTGCCTAGAGCTTCAACACCGGAACTGTCTTGCAGGAGAGACGGTGCTGGCTGACAGTGGGACGGGAGACACGCAGGACAGCTGCGCACCCTGCCCGGCCTATCGCCTGTGTCCCTCCTCACGCCCGAGGGACAACGACTCTGCACTGGGGCTTCCCAATGGAGACATGCAGGGCAGGGTCTTCCTCAACTTCCCATGGCCTAAGCACAAAAATAGAAGTGCTTCTTGTTCACGCTTTGAATAGGAACATCATAGTTGAAAAACACAAGAAGGAGCGGCAAGTTTGGCATTAAATCCTACAAAGCAATACTGGAGAAATTCTAGATGTTCCAAACGCGTTCAGTAGTTACCAGTGGTTCGTTACTCAGTGCGTTCTGAAACTACAAAGAGAGACAGAATAAACAGTACTCGGATCCCTGTCATCTAGGAGCTCCTACCTCAGGTGGTAAACTCCAGATAGAATTCACCTCCACATTTGGTGAGCGCAGTGCCTTGGTCCGGACAACCTGCAAGTATTTGTTGAATGAATGAGAAAAGGTACATGGGAAGACACTTGACTCGGAAATAGCAGTGAAGGAGATTCCTAAAAACAACATTGCCCCAGCTGTACCTCTTCTGGGAACCTTCCTCAGAGAGTAGAAGAGGACACATTACAGTGATCTATGCTGCCTTGTACAATTTCTAACAGCTAAATCTTGAAAGCAGCCTATGTGTCCATCAACAGATAAATGGATAAAAAAATGTGGTATTCACACACCACGGAGTACTACTCTGCCATAAAGAAGGACAAACTTGAGTCATCTGGAGGAAAATGGATGTACCTTGAGACAATAAAGCTAAGAGAAATAAACCAGACACATAAGCTGAAATATTGCATGGTTTCTGTTGTATGAGAAACCCAAAATATAAGTGGTTTAGAGAAGAAAAGGTAGGAAACAGGAAGTGGCGGAGGAGGGTGAAAATGATCAAGATGTTGT